TCACGCAGTAGGTCGGCTGTCAGGTCGCGGATCGTGTTATGACGGAGAGCCGGGTATCCACCAGTTGGGCACGAAAGAGCATGGCTGGTGTTAAATGCCTTGCCACACACACAAGTGGATGGCAGGCGGGGAGGGACCCAGCCGAACCGCAGACAGAGTGCGTCTCTGAAGGCGCCTTTGTGGAGAACAAACCCGAACTGCTTCAGGGGCCGGCAAGTGAGCCAGTTGGACGCTCCTTTCTCGGCCGCCATCCCCAGGGTTCGCTGGGTGGGCACATCACATGTGGCCAGGAGCTGACTGGCTTGGTCTCGAGAGGCTCTCCTGGTTGCTGCTGCTGCAGTTAGCTTGGCAGCATGGATGGTGGTGGGCACTTCGTCCATGTTGGTGTCTTGGTCCAGTATCCGGCTCACGAGGATGTTGGTGACAGCGACAGACATATTGTATTGGTCCGTCAAAGACCTCGGGTCAATGAGACCAAGACCACCTTCTCGACACGGGAGGGACAGTATGGCGCGCTCTTCGTCACCAGGTGCGGGGCGACTGGTTAGAGCAGGGATGAACCGCTGTCGGATGGAGTGCTCCAGCGGGTCTAGCAGTCCGCTGATGCCTGGGACCGTCCGGGCCACAAACGACCACTTGTGGCGGAGGCCATGATTAAAAGCAGCGTATGCCGCTTGTGGCTGAGTGGTGGCGAAGTCAGCCAGTCGTCCAATCTCTAGCGCCCATGTCTCTACCTTCTCTGTGACATATTGCTTGCAGAATTCGGGAGACCCAAGTACCGCACCGAGATGCCGCCAGCCATCCGTGCGAATCTGGACTGCCGTGTCAGCAAACAGGGATTCTGCTTCCTGAAGATGCTCCGGCTTCACAACAAGAACCGACTTGGCATCATTGGGGAAGTACCCATATGCTGGGTAATATTCCGCGAATGGAGGTCTCAGCAGCGCCGAAACGAAACAGCTCATGCAAGAAGCAGTTCCAAAGAAGGAAGTTCCTCGTGCATGCACATCCGAAAAGGCAACAACAAAAGTCTGCAATGCACACGCATGCGGCCAGCCGGCCGCGCGATGGTAGGAGCCATGGAGTAGCTCCCTAGTCCAGGACCAGGTACCGAGCATCTTACGTAGAAACTTACGTAGCTACGTAGACAACGTGTCTGAATAGCGGTGTCGTTAGGTAGCGCCATGTGAACACAATAATAGAAAAGCTGACAGGATCGCTTTTCTAAATAAACTCAACGGCATACGCATGAGTGTGTGCCAGTAGGGCCACATGCCAATTATCGGATTAGTCTGTGAAAGTTGCACGGCACGACAAACTTTCGGACAGTCTAAAGATATGACACAATGAATGTGGAATACCCTCCAGTGTGTAAGACCATTAAATTTCATATCTATTTCGCAGCGTTTGTGATTTTCGGAGCGTCCCTGTTGATATTTGATGTCCTCACTTGGTTGATGACACAGTCACAAATTATCTTTGAATTCACCTCCAATGCCATCCAATCTGCGTTCCGCGATACATGTACAGTGAACGGTGTTGAGGAAAGCCATGCAGCAATAAAACAGTCGAGACTCCCAAGCAGAGGATACAATTCAACAGCGTATTGAAGTACCGTGGAATTGTTCTAAACAATTTTCAAGACACAATTACAAAATTTGAAGTGCGTCTTGAAACGTGTTTGAAGTGCTTCGATGTATTTACCTTCGATCTCCCTGAATCGATCCATCCACAGCTACCTGACAAATTTGCGAGCCAGTGCGGGAGATGATCGAGCAAGTAAATTATAATATTCAAGTGAAGGTCGCGAGATGTCAGTGGCACTGGCAGGAAATCTACACAAGCGTGTTCTGAAATAATTTTCTAATACTTAGGCATGATTCAAGACCGGACTTTGATTTCTCCCTTCTTATGGTACGAGCACCAGTCGACATTGCATTCTTGGAAAATCTTCTGCGAGTGCTGCCTTCCCCTTTAATAGAAAGAACGAGTGAAGAGGGACACTAGCAGCAGGTTCTAGCTAGGTCCACAGAATTGCAGAAAAGCGAGAAGCCGTTCAACAACGATTGATCGCACAAAAATCATCGCTACCGAAAAATTTACTGAAAATCTACACTTTTCAAACGATGCGCGCGCAGAGGGTGTGAGCCACCTTCAATTCAACATCTCCTGGCTCGTCAGAAGACTGCCAATATATGAGAAGTCGGGTGGTAGCCAACCACGACGCTTCTTCACTCTCATTCAGTTTGTCAGTGCAAACTATAGTGTGAAAAGTACTCATCAAACTAAGCCCAGCGACACCATCATAAAATCGAGATATCCGGCAGGACGCATGTGAAATGGCATGCCGTTTAGGCCCAGACAGATCCTGCCGGCAATTCTTTCGGCAAAATATCGAAGAATTGAAAGAGCGGAAATTGCCATGGCAAAATCGGAGCAAAATATCGAGATGTTGGGTAAAATTGATGCCTGATACTTGGATTTCCTTGTTTCTTACGGTGCCCGTTCAGCAGGATACAGTGCCCTAGATCTAGGACGAGATCATATCACCGAAATATCACTGGGATTCACTGTGGATCGACATCATTTTTGGAAGAACTCAGGGACACGTGCGTGGAAACCCGTGACGGGCCGTGTTGAGAAACCGTACCCTGCGATTTTTATGAAATGTTGTACGGGATTATACGGGAAGTGGATAAAATCCACGTTTTTCCGGAGCAAAATGGAGCAAAATATCGAGTTGCTTGTGCCAGGCTCGGCAAAATATCGAAGATTTCGCAGCAACATTTTGCGGCAACATATCGAGGCGAGCGGAGCAGAATCTGTCTGGGCCTAATGCCGCTACCCTGTTCAGCGTGGTACCCGCCCTCCCCCTCCCCTCCCCCCCCCCCCCTCTTTCCCAACCTGTACTCTCTTGTACCATCATCCTTCACTTCAACGGACCCCATGCACGATAGGCAGTCAGCCTTTGGGTCATCCTAGCAAAGTTATTATTATTATTAAAAATAGGTGTGTGCGGGAAAATTATTTTATTCTCTCTCTGAACGTACAGTAAGTGAGTATGCATGGCATGCTCAATTCTTTTTTTAAATATTATTTCCCGGAATTGCTTTTAGACAAGAGCTGCTCTGTTTACCCGTACACTTTTTCTGTATATCCACCAACGACAGCCCTGAGTCGTTCATAAGGGAGTCTTATCACATGGCACGTGATTGTTGCCCGTACTCCAGCGAATCAGCACCTTTCACGCCGCGGGCAATAATATGCGATATTGCCCGTAAAAAAATAGTTAGTTTGCCCGCAAAAAAATAGTTTATTTCAGTGACCGCGTGACGTCATGAATGCGCGTGTACGACGACTCTGTAGACTGTACGACTCTACGACGAGTCGCAGTGTAGCATTGAGACGAAGATGGAATTCTTTTTGAAGGTGGACGTCCCAGCAATGGACATGGCCTCGGACGTCTGCCGTGTGGTGCTTGCAGGGATCATTTGTTCAGTCATGTTGGCAGCCTGACCGTGGGTAAGCTTGTGGATAAGATTCAGTTCTGCTCGATGTGGTACTGTGATCACAAACAATAATTATTTGAAATAACACAAATTCAACTCAGCATCCTGCGTTTCATATCCTCGCAAAGTCCCTGCTTGTGTGTGGTCTTCATGTGCCACGCAGAACTCCTACCAGGCTCATCTGTCCTCTGCCTTCACCTTCAATGTTTTGCTATGAAAAATACAGCTAGCTGGAGCTGAAAAAAAGAAGAAAAATTGTCCTCAGAATTACACACCAGGCCAGGGAGTCGTCAAATACTTGCAGTACTGTATTTGACAACTTCCTGATACACATGTAAACATGAAGAGACTCTTTGTGGTAACACTCTTAATTTTTAAACTGAAATTATGATTCTGCTGTGTTTTATTGTGGTTGCCATGTGTATTGCTATGACGATGCCTGCCGACACTTACTTTCTGTCTCCGTCTTTCAGTACTGTATACTCTCTGATGGCCTGTAGCAGACTTTTTGTTAGGGTGTAGGAGAAATATCTTCATTTTTTCTGTTTTGATAATGATAGCACATCAATATACATTGTGTTCATAAAGGCATTTGGGCTAGTTTCAACAGCAGCCCAATGGTCTGCTTTGTGGGCCATGTGATAAATTTGTTATCCCATGGTTGCCGCGGGCCTTTTGGCATATTATCGCCCCTCGAGGTTAGCCCTACGGCCCTCGGGCTAACCTCTCGGGGAAATAACATGCCACAAGGCCCTCGCAACCATGCGATAACATAATATTATACGTACACACCCGAGTTTGTGTGACTCCATGTCACAGATCTACTCGCACGATCAGTACTGTACATGTACCGGTATATGAACTGTTCCAAAACAAATTGGCACCGGCTCGACTTTGGTGCGGGAGGGCCAGGCCCGGGAATCTCCTTAATATTAGAGAGGTTAAGTTACACGTTTTTTGCCCTTTTTCAAAACGCGGTGCAAATCTCACGTTACGTGTAATTTTTAGAGGTTAAGTTACACTTGCGACGTGACGTGAAATTTTGCCTGGCAGGATTCGGGTTTAGTTCGCACAAATATCAAATCTTCCAACAAACTTGATAAATCTCGATAAAATTCCGGAAACTCACACAAATTCGGTCAGGATAACCAAGCGAAACTTCCAAAAACTCACGTCATGAACTTACGTGCGGGACAGTCAACTCACGTAAAACACGTCAAATTTTACGTGAGTTTTTTCACTTTTTTACGTAAAGGTTCACGGACGTAAGACTTTTACGTGAAACTTAACCTAGTAATTATCAAGAGTACATAACCCCTACGTACTCTTGATATCATCTAAATATTCTTCTCTGTAAGGCCATTTCACAAATTTGTTAAAAATAGAAAAGGGTTTTCTCCCCAGACTGGAGCTCGCCCTTTCCTATTTTAACAATTTGTAAAATTTCACAATTAGGCGAACTATAAAAAAATAAAGGCACTTCAATAGTTGCTAGTAGACCACCATAACCACCGCCGCTTCCACCGCCACCACGATCACCATGAGCACCACGAGCACCACAAGCACCACGAGCACCACAAGCACCACAAGCACCACAAGCACCACGAGCACCACGAGCACCAGGAGCACCACGAGCACCACTAGCACCACGAGCACCAAGAGCACCACAAGCACCACGAGCACCACGAGCACCAGGAGCACCATGAGCACCACTAGCACCACAAGCACCAAGAGCACCACAAGCACCACGAGCACCACAAGCACCATGAGCACCATGAGCACCAGGAGCACCATGAGCACCACAAGCACCACAAGCACCACAAACACCAAGAGCACCACCAGCACCATGAGCACCACCACAAACACCACCACTGAAAACACCACACGATTCACCAGCACCAGATTTTTGTAAATATACATTTGTATATAGATTCATCTGCGAATGATGTTGTCCACATGTAAGTCCAACCGGAACAAAATGTGCCTACATAAATCTCTTGAAGGCAAGTCAATTCACTCAAGTATGCTCTCTGTTTTCACACTAATATAGAATCTGTAGGATTATCTAACATTCCAGTCTTCGCTGTCAGGAGTCATAGTGATGGCCATGGACAAAAAGAAACAATGCACAAATCGAACAAAGAGAAGGGTGCAGGACCAAATGAGAACCCGCAAAAAAAAAGAAAAAGAGGAGAAAAAAATCTGCTGAGCACATGCATACAAGTTTTCCTAAGCAACATAGACACCAAAGCTCCGCAAAGCAGGTTTCATGCCACAGCAGTGCCACCTGTACACCAGCTGCAGCAGCACACATTCAGGAGACTGGACGTGGAACATGAAAATGACAGCCAACTATCCTAACGTGGGTCCGTCGTTGGAGCTCGCTAGTACTCGTGGACTGTAGATAGAGGATCAAAAACATGACACAGAATAGGGAAGTCAAGCACACACACAGTATTAAAAACGTCCACTATACATGTGTGTGTGTATGTGTGTGTGTATGTGTGTGTGTGTGTGTGTGTGTGTGTGTGTGTGTGTATGTGTGTGTGTGTATATGTGTGTGTGTGTTTGTGTGTGTGTGTGTATGTGTGTGTGTGTGTATGTGTGTGTGTGTGTGTGTGTGTGTGTGTGTGTGTGTGTGTGTGTGTGTGTGTGTGTGTGTGTGTGTTGCACGCTCTCCTCTCCTCCCCCGCATTGGGGCGGCATAGCCAGTTACTGGCAGCTGTACACAAAGTCAAGATGTGTATGTGCGTGTGCGTGTGGGGGGGGGGGGGGAGAGGGGTGCGTGGGTGTTCGTGGGTGTGTGGGTGTTCGTGGCTGTGTGGGTGTGCGTGGCGTGTGCGTGTGCGTGTGTTTGTGTGTGTGTGTGTGTGTGTGTGTGTGTGTGTGTGTGTGTGTGTGTGTGTGTGTGTGTGTGTGTGTGTGTGTGTGTGTTGCATGCTCTCCTCTCCTCCCCGCATCGGGGCGGCATAGCCAGTTACTGGCAGCTGTACACAAGGTCAAGGTCAAGGTGTGTGTGTGTGTGCGTGTGCGTGGGAGTGTGGGTGTGCGTGGGTGTGTGTGTGGGGGGGGGGGGGTGTGTGTATGTAAAAAAAATGAAAAAGACCAAAAAGTAGGGATACACTGGCCAGAAAAAGCCACTTCATAGCTGTGTGGTGTAGACCAGGGTGAATAGTGGCGGTCAATTCTTCAGCCTTGCAAGCTGTTCAATGGTGCAATCCCAGCACAAGCTGCTATGGCTTCTGCTGTAGCATCGCTATCATCGCCTCCGGCGATGGGCGTAAAATGGTCCAATGGTGTGTGTGTGTGTGTGTGTGTGTGTGTGTGTGTGTGTATGTGTGTGGGTG